AAAAAAAAAAAAAAAAAAAAAAAAAAAAAAAAAAAGGAAAAAAAAAGCAACAGAAGCCTATTCTTCTAGAAAGGAAATGGATTCTTTGTTATCTCTTGTGTTTCAACTCCTCTTCTTAAGAAAAGACAACAAAAGAACAAATGCCGGTAGCTCGCTCTCTCTCCTGATTAATATACTGCAAGCTCTTAGAGCCGATGCTAAGCTGCTGCTAACTGTATAGGTGGGAATCCATACTGACAGGATGATGAGGTCAGACCTTAAACAAGTAAATCAGCTTAGCACAGGAAAGCAGCAACCATAACAGTACCCAGCTGCTAGGCTTACACGCAGCACTATAGCACAGCTCCCTAATATATAACCTAGCCTCACATGATCCTGAGGGATCCTAAGCTGCAACTTAAGATGCTGAAGAGCACATACAAATAAAGTGACAAGACTTTCTATCTAACGGCATTTTCCATTGCTAATCAGCAATGCTGCATTTCACAGAAGATTTATGGAGAATTCTTTTACAGTCTCCTTGCACAGATTTTTTGTGGGGATTCACTGTGAAACTATCCTGCAGTTCATGTGTTTCCTTAAGAGGTTTCCATTTGTTTGTCTTGCTGTGTAAAATTCCTACAAATGGCCTCAGTGTGGTAGCACTTACCTAAAGGAAAGAGGTAGCATTTCAATATGCTGTGCAGAGCTATGTATTTTCTCACCTATAGATAGATTTCTTGTCATGATTGCAGGGGTGTAAGAACAGAGAGAGGGAGCTCATAAAATCAGAGATGTGGTCCCTGAATGACTGTATCTGTGGAAAACACAGCTTCCTGGCTAAGTGCCTGTGTAAACACCTCTTGTCATCCTCTTCTTAATTTCACACAGACAATGAAAAGAGTGTGATTATTTTTTTTTAAACATCTTTATTTTGACAATGTACAGTGCAGCATGTTTTCAGCAAATTTATTAGATGGCATATTCTCATCCTTTCATCAAGAGACAGGGCTGTGAGAACTGCCCTGCCTTGTGTTATTTCAAAACACACAGGCTCTGTGTGTTTTGAAATAATGTACGTGCACTGTTTTTGCAACTCAAAATAAATAAATAAATAGGATTTTTTTTTTTGTTATGTTCTCCACAGTGTGCTGTTAATGATGTATATATCTGTAAGCAGTATGCAGAAACAAAAAATTGTAAAGCAGTCAGTAAGACAGGATTCAGAATTAAAGGAGGTACATCTTACATTTCTTTTTCAGACCTTTTGACTTCTGTTGTGATGTTTTTTCTATTTCCTAAACTCCACTGATGGGGTTTTGAACCTTCAAACACTGAAATCAGCCTTCTCTTTTCTGGCTGCATGTAGTGCAAACAGTGAAATGTGAAGTAGTTTTGTAAAGTATCAGCAAGTTGAGATAATAGAACTAAGAAACATCAGCTCTTATGCTGGGCTGCCAAGTTTCTCTCCTATTCCTGAGATTCAAGCAAATTATATCAAATGATACTCAGTCTCAGGAAATGGATGGAAAAATTCCAGGGCAAAAGAGAAACTGTAAAATAGTTGGAGAAAGTTATGCTATTTAGATGCATAGAGGGAAAGAAATGACTTTAGACAAAAGAAATTATGAGAAAAAGTTGGCCATAAAAGGCAAGAAGGGAAAAGCTGAGAAGAGAGGACATTTGAGAGACCTATCTGATACATCTATACAGAATCATAGAATCGTTTGTATTGGAGGGGACTCTTAAAGAGCACCTATTCCAGCTCCTTTGCAATGAACAGGGACACCTACAACTCTATCAGATTGCTCAGAGCCTAGTCCAGGCTGACTTTGCTTGTCTCCAGGACAGGGCTTCCACCATCTCTTTGGACAGTCTGTTTCAGAGCTTCACCACCCATACTGTAAAAAGCTTTTTTCCATATATCCAGTCTAAACATTGAGGCTAAACTATTACATCAGAATGTATTTGTAATTCTGGCAAGAGGGCAGGTGTTTGTGGAGGACAGAACAAGCAAAATTTGGTTGCTAATAAGAGTCCTTTCTCATATGAAAAAATAATGTACTCCTACTTGTGAGAGTTGAAATAGAGGCCCCTGCTAGCCTTGGCATAAATGCTTCCAGTGCTGACCCCACTTCTCTGCTATGGGTTACTGCTCACAGCAGCTGCCAGAACTCACTTGTGTGCCTGAGCTGCTGAACTTAAACGTACACATGAACATTCAGTGAAGGAGGGCCAGCTCGTGCTTGGACATGAGCCTCTGGGTCTCAGCAGGTCTGGTGCCGCTGTTATTTCTGTCACTGTGATTTGCACATGTGCAAAGACTGCCACTTCAGCATTCCAAACTGTGCCATCCACTACTGAGTAATACCCTATGTAACAATTCTTCACTAATACAAACTGTATTCTTGAATAATGTGTACTTAAGAATAATATGAAAGAAGGATATCTGTGTTAGAATATCAGGCTGTAAGTGTTGTTGATGGAACACAGTTTTTAAAAACTTCATTTTCAATTTTTCAGGAATGGATAGAAATAAGAAAACTTGTTCAACTTCTTAATAGTTATATTAAGAAGTATATAAAGACCTGATTATTCATTTAATAAGCGGTTTCAATTTAAGCTTGCTGAGAATGCAGACAAATAAAGAAGCCGCTCCCTAATTTCAGGGATTTTAAAGAATTTGTAGGGAGTGAATGGAAAAACAGAAATGCTGGCCATTGGGGAAGAGGGACCATTATGTTTTCGGAAGTCAGAGTAAGATGTTTTCTCGCTTTAATGACAACTTTATAACAGCCTGAAATTTTCCTGGAGACATACAAGTTATGTTTAAGGCTGTGGGTTTTTTGGGTTCTTTTTTTGTTGATTTTGATGTTGTTTTTTTTGGCATTACATCTATTTAATATTGGATTTAATATTACTTAGCCTTTCAGTGTTAGCCTACATGCTTATGAATGTTCTACTGCTCACTTTTATAGAAGTAAAAATACTTAATGGTATCTGTATATATTCCTTAGGATTGCATCTACATTGAATTGCCTTGCAATCCAAGATCAATTTTAAGGAGACAGTCTCTCTATGATAATTTATGATAAAATTTTGTGAAGGTGAACAGAAAACATGGTTTCTTGCAAACTTATAAGGCCACTGAGCCAACCCAAGCAGCTCTGATATTTCCACTTAGCAACAGCTCTGATACATTGAATCCATCATTTCTCATCATCTCACAAAGCTTCCGTTGGTTTCTTTTCATTAAATCCTTTTGCAGATGTCATCATAAGCCTATTACTTGGATTTGACTTGAGAATGGGAAAACAGAACTTCAGTTTGTAAATAACTCTGTTTCCTACTAACTCAGCACATGTTTTGGCAGATGTAGAGTGTATCTAACTAAAACTGAGTACAGATTTCCTGAAGAGACTGTTTTGCTCAAAAAGTCAGCCTGAGTCAGCATGGAATATGTTTCAGGTAGGGCAGATTATTCTTCACACAACTTGTTACCACACTGGCTAAAACTTCAATATGCTGTAATAGAACAATATAACTGATTTAATAATCTAAAATTTCAGGCCAGAAATGATTAGAAATAGGTTTGCTGTTTTCTAGAGACAGCAGAAGTACTAGGAAAAATGCACTGTGTATTTTAGAAATGCAGGAAACATCCCTTTTCCCCTGTGTTGACTCTGAGCAGCACGCAAATGTCACACCCTCTCAAAATACATGCAGAGTTGAATTCTAATGTATTTACAAGTCGAGAAGTAGCCTGTTTATTTTTTTTCTTTTTTAACTTGTGTGATTTTTTGCTTATTCTCTAAGTATTCCTCTAGTTCATTCTTCTCTCTCTGCCCGTTATCTTTTGCAAGAGTATTTTCTATAGAGTTTCCATGTAAAAAGCCATTTTGTCAAACTGCCCCTCTGCTGCCATCTGTAATATGACAATAGAATGTAATGGAGTACTGGTGGGAAGGTTCAGCCTCTACTGTTGCCGTATCACCAACATGCACTTCTGATGTCATGAGCCAGCATAATAACATAGGAGTTGTTACTTTCAGAGCAGCCACTGTAAATACTGCCAGCTTAATTGCACATTTTTTCTATAGAACCTTTTATTTTACTAATAATCTGTATCAAAAATGAAGGAATTGTGAAAATGTGGTGTTCAGGACTGTGGACGTATTCAAGGCAACACCAAACTGTTTATGCAAGCCTATCAGATTGTGAAACAAGAAGCATAGACTTATCTTTTTCTACCAAACTGTCATAGCATAATTCAGGTTGGAAGAGACCTCAGAATCTCCGTAGTCCAAACTCCTGTCCTAAGACAATAACATCAGAACCCTTCTGGGAAAACTGTTCTAATGTTTGAGCATCCTAATAGTGAAAATGTATTCCTTTTCATTGGTCAAACTTCCCCTGTTTTATGTTATGCTGACTGCCTGTTTTCCCTACCTGGCTCAGATTTCTGGATCTTGTAGTTGCTGGGTGATGCTGAACAAGCCCTGTTCCCCTCAGGCAATCCACTGGGCAAATTCTTCAGCCCCCAGCCATCTTGGTGACCCTCTGCTGGACTCACTCCAGTCTATTGCTGTCTTGTGCTGGTATTGGAGGGAGGATCTTCAGTAGTAGAATGGTTGACAGAACTTTTAATTGCTGTTATTCTCTATAACAGCTATATCAAAGCAGGCACTAATTCTCCAAAACTGCAAAAAGAATCATGATACCATTTTCAAGTAGAAAATATTTCAATTTTTTGCTTATTCACTAACAACTCTTATTTACCAACCGATTATTATCATCAGATACTAAAGAGTACAGAAAGGATATGACATACCCTCCAAAAAAACTAGTATTTAGATTTGACACTTGTCAGTATAAGTCTTTATCATAAGTCATCTCAAAGCTTTGACAGAATAAGGACTTATACCCAAGGTTAATCT